AGTACTCTATTCCATTAGGGCAGAATTTCCGGAAATGGCAGAAACATGAACTGTGCATAAAACGTAAGTAGAAGTTGTTATTGAATTTTGTCCTTGAGTAGAACGAACTTGTCTCAAGGTGTCCCTACTAAAACCTGGGGAAGGTACGTGCATTTGGAAGAACAATGTGTACACAAAAGGTGATTAACAGAGTCTAAATCTGTAGGTGTTCAAGGCAATAGATAATCAGGTCCTTTGTGTTCCAGCTGATGGTGTGAACAACTTCTATTAGGAATGTAGAATTGTGAAATGGAAGTATATAGAACAAATTAATTGTGCTAAAGAAATTAATCACATGTAGATTAAAGCTGCTCACACTTTGCTTTCTTGAATCCCTCCTTTTGGATCTTGGCCAGGCTAAATTGAGGTGTATGTGAGAGATACATATAATAAAGTAATTATAGGAAAAATGGTGGAATATTTAACTGGTTATTTAAAGGTTCCTAATATATCAAATCATAAAGGTCCTGGTTCTGTCAAATTAGTAATTTGTCACTCTCCAGGTAGGTAATCCTTTCTCTTAATTTAGCTGGAAGGATGTACAGTTAGAGAGATGAAAGTAGAGAATGAATCCCAGAACATTAATTTCTCCTAGTTATATATTCTATTGAATTCTGTAGCTGAGACTAATGAGGACAGGCTGGTAATTAAGTAGATATTTAAAAAAAAGTAATATATGCACAGAAGTGAAGCTCATTGCCTCTAATAACAAGAATTTATTTCTCTCTCACTAAGTAAACCATAAGGAATCTGGATATAACAGTTGCAGAAGACTATCCCACCTTTTTAAAAAGCCCATAGTTTTTAACAATTGCAGAGCCTCCTCCCTGCATTAATCTTGTCAATAGGTAGAAGGCAAATGTGTGCACTCTTAACCTTTTTAATTACTGAAGGATTATAAATGAAAGGTAAATTATAGGGAAGCAATCAGTTCGTCTGAGAGACTGTCACTTTTATATTGCTACACTGGACAAACTGACTGCACTCAATTACATTCATCTGATACCATCCATGTATCCAGGAGCGTAGAAAAGGAGATCTTTAGAGGCTTTACAGTATTCAAAAGTGTCAGATCACTGTTCATCTGAGAAAGATGGAAGGATCCCTTCTCCTTCGAAAAGAATATTTCAGCCAAGTCTGATTATTCAGTTGCTGAGTCAATGAAGTAGTTAGAGCCCAAAGTTTACAGTCCTTTATGAGAGATCTCACTCAAGTGGGTTTTTTACTCCAGATCTGTTGCTTCATAAAAATGTTGGTACATGAGATTAGAATGGGATGATCTCCTGCTTCTTCCTTCCATCTCCTCCAAAATTGTTGATCTAGTCTGCTGATAGATCCAGAGTATTATACTATTTTTAAAATATTGCTTTTACTGACATGTTGTGCAAGGAGGATATCTGGGAACTTTTTGTGATGGCCACAACAGCACCTGTAATTGGGAACAACATACAGTATTTCTGATAATGTGGCAGTAGAACTATGAGAATCACAGGTAGCACAAAGTTATATTCTGTATCTGCTGCAATAGAGAGAAGGTTTATTTCAATCCCAGACCTGCTTTTATGATGAGCATGGCAAATTGGATGAGCATGGCAAATTGGAGCCATTAGAAGTGGACTGTTACTATGGAGTGAATTGTCCTTGATACCTTTGCAGGGATTGGAAATCCATATAAAATTCAGTGTTTTGGTGTTGTGTTTCTCTTCAGTCAAGACCTACCTTCTTTAGCTGGAAGTTACCTGACTTTTGTTGTATGCCATGGAAATGAAGTGTGTTGTATAAGGAAATCTGTCCATAGCCATGTTATGAAAGCCGGTATGGCTAAACATTTGTAGCCAGGGACAAACATAAATAGGCTTTTAGACCCTCTGAGAAGTAGAGGACATTTTGGCTCTTCCGTTGAGAGGACAGCAGTGAATAACAGGTAAAACTCACCTCAGCTGTGAGCCAACATGTATCATACGCCCACATTCCCTATATGCCCTATTTTGGAGAGTTTGGTAGGACTTACATGTTGCATAGACCTCTCTGCATAGCAATGCAGTTTGCTGTAGAAGCGGGAGGAGAGGGGGCTACTTGATTTAGCATGGGAGTGACTACAATGTCCCCTAAAAGTAGGTGGTGTTTTTTTGTGAAAAGAGCCTGTGAAGGTAGTGCACAAAACACGAAAAACCTTTCTGAGAAGGCAAGGAAAGAAAGAGTAGAACTTTTAGTATTGTGCAGTATGTCAGAAAAATACTATGTCAGTACCTATTTTGAATTGTAACCACATTTGTCACATTACCACATTTACCCAAATCCAAGACAACCCTGAATTTAAGACAATCCCTCCATCATTAGATTCTATAGATGGAGAATGTATACATTTGTTATAATTTTCTATGTACAGAAACTAGTTAGTGGAAGGTCATCTTAAATTTGTTCCCACCGCTGTAGCAGGGAAAGCAGTGGTAATGAGACAGTTGGGGGCACATGGTAGGATGGCAGGGGGTGGGGGAGGCAATAAGGGAGCAAGCAGTGGGGGAGCAATGGGATAGGCAGTGGGGGGAGTAGGTGGTAAGGGAGCAGGCAGCTTGGAAGTGGGGGAGCAGGCAGCTTTCCCTCTGCTGCCTGCCCCCCCCACTTGCCCTCCCGTTGTGCCTGGCATCCTGCAGCCTTGAGCCCCCTTTTTACCCCTCCCTTCCCCCTTGCTGAGCCAGCACTGCTGCTACAGGGCCAGGTTGGGGCCGTGCTCTGTGCCCCATGCTGGAGCAGGGACGGAGCCTGCTGGCAGAGCCTGCTGGCATGGAATAAGAGTGGAAGCCCAGAAGCTGTGGGGGGAGCAGGCTGCACAGGTAGTGTGGGGGAGAGATGGGGGAGGAGGAGAGAGGTCCAGAGGCAGTGGAGGAGGAGGCAGGCAGCAGCTGCAGCTCTAGCCCCAAACCGGGGTCAAGGCCACAGCCGAGCTTCAGCAGGTACCACTTCTCCCCCTACTCCTTCCCCCTTGCCTCCTACTTGACTCCTAAAGAACAGACTTTTCCCACCCATATGAAATGAAGGGGAAAAAACCTTGTCTTGAAATCAGATAAGTATCATACTTCTACTTGTATGTTTACCGAATGCCTCACCAATATCTCATTGGTGCAAAGTGTCCAAGATTGGACCAATAAAAATAACTTATAAACTATTACTACCTCTTACATTATTACCTAGCTGTTCGGGTTTTTTCCCCAATTGATAAAAATACATGCTTTTAAAAATATTTAAAAGGAGATTTGTGTAAATATAATCCATCAATTCACGCCTGAAAACTTTATTCAACTTTATGGGTAGGTAACTTGCAAGTTCAGCGTACTTTGCATTTCCAGGTAATGGAAAAAGGAACGTGGCTGTAAAAGGGCAGATTTCCAAAGCGGCAACAATGGAAGCACCTGTGCAAATGTGTATGCACCTGTTAGACATAAAAACCCCTGCGACTGTTCAAGCAAATCTTTACATATAATGGCCTGGTTTTTATGCAAGTAATGTGGCTGGGGCCTAAGCCTGAACTAATTCACTTTTATGAAAGTGATGCTTCAGTGCAGGAAGTCAGAGATTTCTATTTAAAGATAATTGTACTAGATGAATGAGTCCATTGCACAGCTCTCCAAATAAACACCCAGGAGAGGGAAGGGGTTTTTCTTTGTTTGTTGATAAAATTAAAAAGATTTTAAAAATCAAGTCTTTGTCAGTAGCTTCTCACACTTAAGATGAACCTCTTCACACCATTGGTTAGGGCGGTATTATTCCTTAAATCTCATCTCGGTATAAATGAGGTTTCCCATTTCAAAGGCACAGATAGAGAGCTCTAGGAGGTCTCTGCTTCCCACAATTTTTAGCCTCCCTCCACAACTCAGGTTCAGAAGTACAGATACTGAACTACCCCCACAAAACATCCTGGAGTGGTCTTGAAAGCATTGCATGGAGTTCCTTCCCTATCCTCCTTCCAGGCGTTCAGCATATATGTTGCTATCAACAAGTGCTTGCCAGCACATACACGTGCGGTGCTTATGCTCGAAAGGCACCCGTACATCACATTCCTTTGATAGCTGGAGTCCTGTGAAGGAAGATGAACCACTCAGCATGCTCGCTGGGGGCAAGATTTGGCCCTTGGTATCTTATTAAAGTGTAAATAAATAATTGAAATCCTATGGATTTGCTGTCCACTCCACTTTCTGCTAGAATGTCCCTATGAAGTGTGTTTTCTATAGTCTAACGGATGAATGTTTAAGAACAGAGTAAAATTATTACAATATGCATACCAAGAATAACATAACAAGATGTTATTTTTAAACAATGTGCCAAAAAAGACCAAAAAAAATCCATCTGGGCTGCAACAGCAAATAATTGAGAAGTGCCTGTAAAAGTTATGTGTATATTTTTATATCAATTGAGCCTAGCCAGCATATATACAAGTTCCTAGAATTTATGGTTTAAGCCAACATGCAGAGCTCAGTTTAGGTCTGTAGTATATGTAGCTGCTATGGTGATTTAAATAAAATAAATAAAACAGATAAATATGTAGCATATTAGAAATTCATTACTGGCAGTCTTTCAAATGCAGTTCAGCTTCAGCGTGTGGCCTCTGTAATGTTTCATAATTAAAATAGCAAAACAGACCTCCTAGAACATGGAACAGGCTTTTTGGAGGGGGTGAAGTTATGTAATGGCCAGACTCTGCCTTGTCAATAAGCACAGTTAAGCATACTGGAAAAAAGTCAAATATGCATGTTCTGCAAATCCTTGATATGTCTCAGTGAAGATGAGTATTCTGGCAGAAGTCTAACATGGGATGTTAAACATGGTGTATCTTTAAATAATCAGTCTCCCAAGAGTTAATAATAAGAAAGAAATTACAACTTTATGTAGCAAGTAAAGTAGAAAAGAACACTGCAGATTTCACACTTAAGAGCCCAAATAATTAAAAACAGGGTGCATCTTACCAAATCCCTTACTTCTGATCCGGTCCTTTGCATTGACCATGTATTTTCTAACGTTGTGACCACTTCAGGAGGGAGATAGTCCTTGTCTTACCCTTTTGAATGCAGTCTTTTCCGCAGTTTCAGAAGTCTCCGAGATAGTGGTTGACATCCTCCCCAGTATGCCTGGTTCTTGCTGAATAAGATCCCATGTTTTCTTTCCTCTTTCTCCTCTTAACATTCTTCCCCTGCAAAATTCATCCCTTTTCTGAAATGTCAGAGGTTGCACTTGTCTGTAGAAGTTCTTCCAGGCGGGACTGAAATGAACCCCCCACCCCTTTTATTCCTTTAGCCCCGCAAGACAGTGGAAGGAGCCTGGTCAGCAGAAGGAAAAATGAAAAGGCTACCTTTCCTCCACCCTCATCAAACTCTTCTGAGGGTTGGAAGTGAAGCAGTTTGTCAGGCTGATCTTCAAAGTTGTACTTTAGAGGGGAGGAAGAAAGTGGAAAGCAGACTGAAGGCTAGAGGAGAGGTTTCTCTCCTCCCCCCCTGGGCCCCTTGCCGGCTGTTTTTATTGATTTCAATCACTGGAGGCTTGAGCTCTCCGGAGAAACACTGTGTAATGTGTTCTTTCCTGGCTTTCATTAAAGAAACTCAATGCAGCGCGGTCACGCTGCCGAGCCTGCCTGGCAACCTGCCTACTCCGCGCGGGCCTTTCATTGGAGGCAGCGAGCTCTTGGGTTTCTCTCCAGCGAGGATTTCAAACCATCTCCGTCTGCCTCTACCTTCCCCAAACCTCCAGCCCTTCCAAACTCGGGGGCATTTTCTCTGTCCCTTAAAAGGGATGCCTTTGCCGCTGTGACTATAAGATCTGTATCCTCTGGTGTCTGTTCAATGTGCCCTTAACAATCTTGGAAACCTTCTGTTCGTTTATTCTGGGGGGAAGGGAGGCAGCACTTTTACAAACTGAAGTACATAGAAGGAGGTAAAAGTGATTTCTTCGCTTTTCTAACCCTGCTCTGTCATCTGCTGCGTATGCTGTTTCACCCGATTGATTGGTACAGTTTAGGGGGGCTAGACCTGATGATCTGTAAGGTCCCTTCCAGCCCGTAACGACAGTGAAACTATGAAACTAGGAACAGGGGATAAGTAAAGCAGGATGGCAGATACATACATATTCCTTTTAGTGCTGCAGTGACAGGCTGAGCAGAATGACATTGGCAGGACTGCATCAGTTAGGAGGGTGTTAGTCAAGATAATGACACCCAAGGATAACTGAAAGTAGTTGAGATGAAATACAGACTTACATTTCTGAACTGGATCTGTTATAATACATATCATTTTACAGGGGTACGTATTTTAGAAAGTGGAATTTAACTAATGTAATAGTTTCTGTAAATATTTTCCTTCTGTATGCACTTAAACTCTTCTATTTAATTTAAATTTACTGAATTGTTTACTTTTTCCTTGTTCAGTAATTCTTACTGTTAACATGTTACGTATTCTTCAGAAGCATGTGTGTACACGGATGAAATAGTAGAAGGACCCAACAGCTTTTAGTTGACTGCAGACTGATGCCAGTAAAGTTGCATGCATCTCAAATCATATTTTAATTGCAGTTGGTAACCGACACATGTATTTCTTAAACAGATACTGTATCTCTCCGTGGGTCACATGCACTTTTTTCCCATTTACACATATACAATAGCAGAAAGAATCCTTTCCTGGATCAGAAAGATACAAAAGCTTGTTCTCATTTAAATCTGGCTTTCTGCAGAACTTGTTTGAGGTTTTTCTGCATCAGTTGTGTCTATAGAAACCTTTCCAAATCGGCTTATTGTAATTTTTCCCAGTGTATATATTACCAAGAGTTGTAAGATTATAAGAACAAGTTAGCTCTTATGAAAGGTATTTTTTGTATGCTGTATCATTTTAAAGCATTTTTGGTTAGTTCTCCAGATGCCTTTTGGACACTTTTTATATTATTGGATTTTTTAGCAATATTTTTATTGGCCTAACATATAATAAAAATCAAGTTACTTTATGTACTACGTGAAAAGCAACCTTTAAAATGTCTATCTGATAGAAGGAGTACATTGCTAGAAAAAATGTGACTTTGATTTCAAGTCTGCTTTCCTATCTTAATGAAACTTAAAATGCTCTTTATGCTTATGATTCCTCTGTTCATAAGGTGGAAACCTATAGAAAATAATAGTTAAAATAATTTAATATGGCTGTGAATTCTTTTATATGGGTTGTGTAGTCATAGTTACTGTGCATTTTTTGGCCAAGGCTCAATTAGTAAATCATCTGTTAACTTTTATTTTAGAAATCTTGTTTCTGAGAGCTGTATAACTCAGCCCTGTTTCCTTGCAGCTTTAAATTACATTAATAGGTTTGGACTCTGTTGTTGTTGTTTTTGTTTTAAGTGGGAAAGTGGTGCATGAATGGGAGAGAAAAATTGTGTGTTCAGGGGAAAGTGTTTATTTTTTGTAATGAAATTCTTTATATTACTGGAAAAACAAGGCAATACAGTGCATCCAGTCTTTCTTTTTGGGGAAACCTAAGGTGTCATATCCCCATATATTTTTGAGCATTGTACAGTTTATTGATCTGATCCTCTGTTGTTTTTATTCTCTCTCTTCTCCTCATCTTTGCTCTTTCACTCCTCTTTTATCTTCTGTAGTAATGCTAGAAGAAATGGTTTCAAAGTCTGTTGACTTGAACAGAAATGAATCCTTGTATACCTGCGGTGAACTGGACTCCTGCTCTTTCTCCTGCCAGTTTGTGGTACACTTTTCTGTCTTTCAGTATTATGAGTGTGGCTTCTCTCCTCTGTACTTTTCTTCCACTACCTTGTTCTTGCCCATTCTGTGTAGCTATTTCCAATAACATCCAGGTAACCAAATTGCAACCAGTGGGCCACAAGCCTTTCTTTTGCATCCAAATAGAGCTCTGACACAGACCTCCACATAGCAGTCGAAATTATGTCCCTGCCACAGTGGGGAAGCCAAGCGTGTAGTCATTTGCCTCTGTTTGTGCCTGTTATTGCCATATGTTGGCAAGCAGAATGACCCCCTATCCATAAGAAGGGATACAAATTCAGGACAGTTGTGACCCTGGCCCAAATTTGTAACAACTTTGCAGACCATATGAATGAAAATGAGATTCCTCTGCTAAGACCATTCTGTAGAGATCGTGATTTCAGTAAAGTTCATCGTATGCTGGCAACAAAGCAGTGAGAGAGATGGGAAGCCTTATAAATGGTGAGCTAAAATGAGAGACATGAGCCTCTGAATATTAAAAATACCAAAAGTCGAATGGCCTGGGACCTCAGCTTAACTGAAATTCTGGAAATTCAGAGATAAATAATAGAAAAATCTAGTTTAAAAACCAATTTCAAACTTCTCTTTCCTGGAAACCTGGCACTATTAAGCATAAGGATACATTTACTCAAGTTGCTTTCATTTTACTATATTACTGGTAGACCATATATGATGGGTATATGAGCAGATAGCCACTTTTTAACCTCCTCCTGCTCACTAGAGTCTATCTAGAATTGTTCTTATTGCCAGAGATTGTTTTATAGTTTCAGTTTCATAGTTGGTAGGGTCGAAGGGACCTGAGGAGATCATCTAGTCCGACCCCCTGCCATGGCAGGAAAGAGTACTGGGGTCAAATGACCCCGGCCAGATGTTTGTCCAACCTTTTTTTAAAGACCCCAGGGTAAGAGCCAGCACCACTTCTTTTGGAAGTTGGTTCCAGGTCCTAGCCGCCCTGACAGTGAAGTAGCGCCTCCTAATGTCTAGCCTGAAACTACCCTCCCCTAGCTTGTGTCCGTTGTTTCTTGTAACTCCCGGGAGTGCTCGGGGGAACAGGGACTCTCCCAATGCCTGCTGGTTCCCCTTGACTAGTTTGTAGACTGCCACTAGATCCCCTCTCAGCCTTCTCTTTCGGAGGCTGAACAGGTTCAGGTCCCTCAGCCTCTCCTCGTAGGGCCTGCCCTGCTGCCCCCTGATTATGCGGGGGCACCTTTGGACCACCTCCATATTGGCCACATCCCTCCTGAAGTGCGGCGCCCAGAACAGGACACAGTACTCCAGCTGTGGCCTGACCAGTGTCACGTAGAGTGGGGAGGATCACTTCCTTGGACCTGCTTGAGATGCATCTGTGGATGCACGACAAGGTATGGTTGGCCTTCCTGACCGCATCCCCACACTGTCGGCCCATGTTCATTGTGGCATCAATGATGACTCCAAGATCCTTTTCTGTCTCAACACTGCCGAGAAGGGAGTTCCCCAGCCTGTAGGTGTGCCGCTGGTTCTTCCTCCCCAGGTGTAGTACCCTGCACTTGTCAGTGTTGAACCGCATCCTGTTCTTATCGGCCCACCCCTGTAACCTGTCTAGATCTGCTTGCAGCCTGTTCCTTCCTACTAGCATACCCACTTCCCCCCACATCTTAGTGTCATCTGTGAATATGAACAGGGTGCTTTCTACCCCCTCACCCAAGCCTCTGATGAAGATGTTGAATAGTGCGGGCCCGAGGACCCCACTGCCCACATCCCTCCAGGTCAAATAAGACCCATCCACCACCACCCTCTGGGTGTGGCCCTCCAGCCAGTTAGTGACCCATCTGACCGTGTAGGCATCAACACCACTGTCTCCTAGTTTCTTACTGAGAACGGGGTGAGAGACCGTGTCGAAGGCCTTCCTAAAGTCCAGAAAGACTATATCCACTGCGACACCTGCATCCAAAGACTTGGTGACATGGTCGTAAAAGGCCACCAGGTTGGTTTGACAAGACCTGCCCCTAATGAACCCATGCTGGTTGCCCCTGAGCATAACCTCCCCTGCTGGCCCTTCCTGGACATGTGCCAGGGATTCAATTGTTATTGAATCCCTTTTCTGCCCTCTCAGTGAGGTGAGCCATGGACACAAAAATGTTATATTTACTTTTTCCCATTAGCTTCTATATCCTTTAACTGACATTTGTAGTCCTGATGAATATATTTGAACTCGTGTAGGATCTGCAAAATGACTGTTGGAAATGCCTCTAATTTAAACCCCACCTCCCCAGTTGAGAGGGACTGGAAGGCTCTTGCTGATGTTTTTTGGTTTTGAAGAGAGGTAGTTAGCCATGTTAGTCTGAAGTCAGGCAGAAGAGTTGTAAAAACACACTGACAGAGCTCCCTTGGTTGTGGAGTCTGATCTGAGACTGATTCTCCTTGAACGTCCATCAGAAACCAAGTCAAAGCAGATGCACTTTAGAAAGGATGTGGAGAAGCTTGAGAGAGTCCAGAGGAGAGCCACGTGCATGATCAGAGGGCAGGAGGACAGGCCTCGTGAGGAGAGGCTGAGAGCCATGGGAACTCTTCAGCCTGGAGAAACGAGGGCTCAGGGGGGACTTGGTCTATAAGAACATCAGGGGTGTGCATCAGGATCTGGGGAAACACCTGTTCACCAGGGCACTCCAAGGGAAGACAAGGTCCAGAGGTCACAAACTGCTGGAAGACCGTTTTAGACTGGACAGAAGGAAAAACTTCTTTACCGTCCAAGTTTCCAGAGTCTGGAAGTGGTTCAAGAACCTACTCTGGATACCTTTAAGAAATGCTTGGATGCTTATCTTGCTGGGGTGATCTGACCCCAGCTGACTTCCTGCCCCTTGAGCAGGGGGCTGGACCCAATGATCTCACAAAGGTCCCGTCCAGCCCTAATGTCTATGAATCTATGAATCTTTGTGTTTGTTTTGTTTCTTTCTGTTACTTTTGGTGACAGGATGTGTTTTGCTTTATATTATTTTCTCTTTAAATATGGAAGAGTTCTTAGCTTCTATAGCAATGACTATTTTTTTAAAAAAACCTCTATTAAGGAAGCAGAATTGTGGATGTATTCATTTTTTTGGTTTATATTCATGACACTTCTCCAGTATAGGTTCTTGTGTTTCTTCTTCCCCTTTCTGAGTGTGCATCATATAATCCACTTCAATTTTTAAGCCATTTTCAGTCAGATTACTGTGAAATTTAGTTTGATGCAAAGATATGCAGGTGGCCCTAGAAACGAGATTCTTTCATAGAAAAATAGAACGTGATGTGACACAAAGAATGTCATTATTTGAGCCTCCTTCCCAACACTTGCCATTACTATTCCTCAGCGTTGTCCTCGAACAGCCATCTCTAAGGGATGAAGGAATTTGATGGTGCCTTTGCCTCTTCGCAGGCAGCCAATAACCATGTCAGTTGCAATATAAATATCTGTCATCTGGAAACCAAACTGAAACCACCATTTCTCATATCACAGCCCATTCAATTGCTGTTGAAGTATAAAGTATTTTTATTTGTTTAATTTTTCAGACCGGTTTCAAATTGGAATCAATGACCTAGAGGAAAAATGGTTCACGGTGCCAGTCGTTGGGTCCCAAGCTAGCCAGTCTTCACCATACAGTGTTTTCACATTCACCTACAGAGTTTAGAGTCATCATCAAGTTCTGCAGATCGAAGCAGTTTCTGAAATAGTATAAGTGACTAGGCAGAGAGTGCATGATATAACCCAGGCTCAACACTCATTTTTTTACTGATATTTTCCCAGAACCTTAATTTTTAAAAGCATCCTGTCACTATATTATTATTACCTAGAAATATTGCACGGAAGTTAAAACTTTTTATGTGATTCCTGAGAAGCATTTTGCCACGTATCCATCCCTGAAGCAAAACAAACTTTGAATAGTACAGAGAAGCACCATCCAGCAACTTAGAGCAGAAAAGAAGTACCTTATTTATGCAAATCCAAGGCACTTCAAATTTAAGATACTGCCCCCGTTAGATTCTATACATAGCAAGTTGTATATGTGTTATAATTTTTCATGTAAAGAATCTAGTTTGTGGAAAGTCATCTTAAATTTGTCCACCCCAGTGCTGTGGCACAGAAAGCAGCAGTGGAGGGGGAGGGACCAGATACTTCCCCTGCCCCGCCACGTCCTGCTCCCCCTCTGGAACCTGCCCCCATGCCATTTCCCCCATGCCTGTTCTTGACCCCTGCTGCCTGCCCCATCTTCTCCCACCACTTAGGGGCTCTGGGGCAGTCTACAGCAGCAGTGGCCCCAGCCCTGCCCAGCCAGGGAGAAATGGTTGCAGCTCTAACTGGGCCAGTTTGGGGCTGGAGGGACTGAAACTGGGAGTAAGGAAGGGTGGGAGAAGCTGGGGGCTATGCAGTGTCCTTTGTGCAACCCCACTAGCTGCACACATGAGTCTCCCCCTTTTCTTTCCCGCCACCCAAGGGTCTTCCCTGCTGCACAAGCCATCCCAGCCTTGGATAGGCAGTGGCTCAGCTCCACCTGCAGCTCCAAGCCTAGAGTCAAAGCGCCAGCTGACTTGCTGCTTGCCCTGGGCTGGCACTCAAATCCAAGAGAAAGCTTTCTTTTCCTCATGATGACTGGGAAAAAACCTCATCTTGGATTCAAGTAAACACGGTAATTGTAACTGAAAGGGGAGTTTTAAGTTCCCATCAGCAGAAAGTAGTTTCACAAACTGGAATTTGGTGAAGGCATCCGAGCTAGTACCCTTTTATTCATGCAAACACACAAGTGGTTGCATAATTTTTGTCTGTCTTATTCCAGTATAATACATTTGGGGTACACTTCTTTCTTTAACTTCTTTTCAGGACTCCAAGAAGAAACAGATCACCTCCTTGATTGCAAAAAACAATGGGTTTCCTCTGGATTTCCTTCCTTTAAGTGTGTTAACCTAGCATGACCTTGTTTAGATAGAGATCTAAGGAGCTTGCAGCCCAAGGTG